TTTAAAGCCTTTTGCATTGAGTCGGAGGACACATTTACTGCATAAAGAGGAACTTTGGTTACACTTTATTTTGTGGTGATGTACTTACTGAAATACTACCCACGTAGCAACAGAGTTTCGGCCCAGATCTGACACAATGTTGCTGTCTGGGTCATATTAATGAACTACTTACTATTAAGGGTGGGAATTGGCATAAATGTGACGATTCAAGAGTATTGCGATATTTGGGTCACGATTCAATATTATTGCGATTCTTTTACATATTGCGATACGGCAAGTATTGCGATTCGATTCTGTGATGTATTGCAATTCATGCCCCCAATATTATTCAAAGGCCTTACAAAAAATGACTTCAAATCACTTCAAATGCCACATTTTAATTCTGTGAACATTATCTTCTACACATTAACCGAAGGGCAAAAACTTTGTCCTTGAACATCCAGGATACAGGACCTTATTACAGTTCAGGACGGCGTTATTCTCTGAACTGGAGACCTCTCACATGAATGGTCCCAGGGCATAACTTAAAATAATTAAAAACAATAGAGTAACATAAACCTGAGAATAATCATATAAATAATGTCGAGGTCTTTACTATTCGCTTTTTGATGAAAACCGAAATTTACCCACACTTTCGATTTGCAGGACAACCGGTTGTGATGGAGAAGCCATTTTCATTTGAATTTGCTGTTGAATGCACGACAACAAAGAAAAAAAAAGTAAATTATTAGAGTAAACTCAAACCAATGGAGAAAACCCGAGAAGTAAAACAAGATAATTTTATAATTAAATTCGGGCTGTCAAACGATTAATCGCGATTAATCGCATCCAAAATAAAAGTTTGTGTTTACATAATATATGTGGTTGCACTGTGTGTAATTATTTTGTGTATATATATAAATACACACACACACATGCTTGTATATTTAAGAAAAAATATTATTTATATATAAAATATTTATATACATAAATTATATATAAATCTATATACAGAATATACATGAAAATATTTCTTAAATATATACATAAATAAAATAATTATACACAGTGCACCCACATATATTATGTAAACACAAACTTTTATTTTAGATGCGATTAATCGCGATTAATCGTTTGACAGCCTTAAATTAAATATTGCAATACTTTGCGCTACTGTATCGATATAATTGTGCACGCAAAATATCGCAATCCTGAACAGAATTGATTATGGTTAGAGAACACATATTATGTAAACACAAACTTTTATTTTGGATGCGATTAATCGTGGCACCCCAGCAAACAAATTTAGGTTCTGGGAATGTTACTTTTTGGTTCCCAGAACGTTCCTAGAACTTTCCCTTAAGGTTAAGGGAATGTTCCCGGAACATTCTCCTTACGTTATAAAAATGGAACCTAAAAATAACCTACATGAAACATTCCTATAATGTTCTTGTTTGGTTCCCAAAAAAATAACCTCATGGGACCATTTGGGAACGTTAGGGGAACGTTCTGTGTTTGCTGCCAAGAGATTCATCCGCTGAGGCTAGTTATCGACATATGACTACGACAATAAGTGCATAGGCAAAATTCATGTTTGTAAACACACACACTGGTTGTTCAAATAGTCACATTTAGATCATCTGACTACAGTACGACAATAAGATTAAAAAAACATACATAGGCTATATATAATACTGTTTAGATACATATTTAAGGGCTGTACTCTGAGTCTCGAGTTTTTCCCGATCTCTCTCACACTTAGCATAATGTTCAGCATGTTTTGTGGAGTAATGATGCCTGAGATTGTTCCTCCAGCACTGCCATTTTGTCAGGTTTCAAAAGAGACGTAGATCAAGACCAGCCAGAAGAGTATTTGTACACTGAATGTTGTTCAGGGGACGTGTAGAGTGTTTAGCCATTATCTCGACTCGCATCCAGCTCTTTCACTCAAGCCTTTGTCGATGCTGTGACTTGGCCTGTAACCTTTTCAGCACATGTAAAACATCAATAAATCATCTGGTCTGTTTTAACCTCACATGGTGTGGCTGGCGACCTTCTTATGTAGCCCAATTAAAGCGATGATGACGCTAAACCAATTCTAAACACTCTTGTTCCAAATCATCCCTCATCGATGTCAGAGGGAATCTGTTCACAGTATTCCCGCGTATTTCATCACGTCATGCACAAACGTGAGATCCCGTCATGATCTGTGACAACACTTCTGTCTTGGTGAACACCATATGCGTGCTGTTTGGAGTAAATGCATCCTGATAAAGTTCCCTTGGCCTTTGGGATTAAAATATCCCCACATCATCACACACCATTCACCACGCCTAGAGATTGGCATGGGGTACTTTCCATAAGATCATCTTTCAATGCAAATCAAACCAGCTATTAGGCTAACTGAAGTAAAACCATGCCAATCTCTAGGTGTGGTGAATGGTGTGTGATGATGTGGGGATATTTTAATTCCAAAGGCCAAGGGAACTTTATCAGGATAAATATTATCCTGGATCCATGAAATAACTGGCTTTTAACTGACTCTATGGGAATTTAACATAGGGGTGTCCTGACTTATGTACCCTGTATTTTAAGGAAAAACATTTATTTATTTATGACACATTATTCATTCACAAAGAAAATTTGTGTCCTTAAAGGTTGGAGTTTTCCTCATTTTTCTAATTAAGGCATTAAGATCAATATCCAAAAGATGATTTTTTTATTCCTCTTTTTAGGCAACTTTAGCATGGATGTCCAAACTTATTCACATCACTGTATGCGTGATAAAAGCCGACTAATCAGGTTGTGGACGAATACCTATGACTTTAGGTATGGGATCTTTAGGTTCGGTGTTAAAATGCCAATGTGAACGCTAATTTTCTTTTTTGGTCTGGACCAAACCAGCCGAGCGAACCGAACTACGAGTGTGAACGCACCCTTAAAATGTTTTGAATGTTGCGTTTGGTTCGCTTTTCACAAGGCAACATTTCCAAGCGTAACAAAATGTGTTTATGCAAGTCACACGTTGGATGGCCGTTACACAGAGTCACGATTCCAGCTCCAACTTAAAAAATTTAATAAACTGTATATGACCCGAACAAGCATACTGTAGCTACATTGACTACATAACCAGTCCCCCTTTTAGTCTGTCACGTCGCCGTTCCCTCCTACATACGTAACTGAGACGTTATTAATATTTAATTAGGTTCTAATTTGGTTTGTCTTGTCAACTTAACAGGGTCTGTTCGGGCCTGTGTGAGCCTTTCCAGTGAAGACAGTGGCACGGTAATTAATTGTTGAGAAATGTCGAGGGATTCCTGCGTGTGTGTGTGTGTGTGTTGTAATTAGCAATTAAAGCAACGTAGAGGGCTGCATGTCCTTGGTATGAACATCTCTCTCAGCGGAAAAAGCAAACCCATAGTGATGAATGCTGAATGCTTCCAGTCCACATTTATTACTCTGTTTTGTCATGATGTTGTTTGACAGAGTGGTTGTGCTTAAGCTGCTGTATTCTCCTGAGAGCAACACTCCTCCAGTCCATCCATCCATCCATCCATCCATCCATCCATCCATTCATTTGAATTCGTTTTAATTCTGCTACATTACATTTAAAAGTCGAATTACAGTTCTACATCCTTATTGCTACCTCAAATTCAGGAATTGATTTTGAAGTGAAAAATCAACTGTACAGGCCCTTGCAGAAATGTTCGGATGGGTTTTTTCGTATTCGTGATTCGGTGGCTCTGATTTGCCAAAACACCATACAAACTGCTTGCTACGGATGCGAAAAACTGAAGAAAATAATTTGTTATGATGAACGAAAGTTTCGGAGGCAGTGTGCAAGCGTGATTGACATAACATGCATTTGTATTTTTTTATTTTTTTTATGTGCGAAAATTGTCGAAATTTTCGTATGGGTTTTTTCGTATTGGTGATTCGGTGGCTCTGAATTGCCAAAACACCATACAAACTGCGTTCTACGGATGTGAAAAACTGCAGAAAATATTTTTTTATGATGATGAAAATTTTGGAGGCAGTGTGCAAGTGTGATTGACATAACATGCATTTGTATTTTTTTTATTTTTTTTTTTACGTGCGAAAATTTCCGAAATGTTCGTATGGGTTTTTCCGTATTGGTGATTCGGTGGCTCTGAATTGCCAAAACACCATACAAACTGCTTTCTACCGATGCAAAAAACTGCAGAAAATATTTTTTTATGATTGCCGAAAGTTTCGGAGGCAGTGTGCAAGCGTGATTGTCATAACGTGCGTTCGTATTTATTTTTTTTTTTACCTGCGTAAATTTCCAAAATTTGCATATGGGTTTTTCCGTATTGGTGATTCGGTGGCTCTGAATTGAATTCGGTGGCTACGGATGCGAAAAACCGCAGAAAACAATTTGGTTACACTTTATTTCGATAGTCACTTTAGACGTTCTACTTATTATAAGTAACTTTTCCACTACATGTCAACTAACTCTCATTAGAGTATTATGTCAATAGACTGTTAGATTATGGTTAGGTGTTAGGATTTAGGTTAGGAGAATAAGTTTACTTGAAGTCGCCAAGTTACTTATAGTCAGTTGAATGTCTGTTGGGGGACCAACAAAATAAAGTGTTAGCAGATATTAAGCAGACAGTCTACCAATACTCTAACGACAGTTAGTTGACATGTAGTTAAAAAGTTACTTATAGTTAGTAGTATGTCTAAAGTGGACTATCGAAATAAAGTGTTACCAATCATTTTGTATGATGGACGAAAGTTTCGGAGGCAGTGTGCAAGCGTGATTGACAATGTTCGTTCGTATTTTTTTTTTTTAATGCGAAAATTTCTGACACAAATTTCTTAACACTGTTGGTTGTAGATCAGTTAAGGCATAGTGACGTCTTGAAACATTAATGAACAGTGTATGTACAGTGGGAAACTCTCCAGATGTGTTTATAACCGCTCGTGTTCAACAGATCATCGGTACAGTTGGATGACATTTCATGACCTGTGTGCTGCTGTGTTTCCTCTTTTAGAGCCACATCTTGGGAAGTAGCAGCTTCTCGGTGGCCGATCTCCTCCAGTCCAGAGGCCAGCAGCTTTCTCTCAGCCTGAGGTGAGTCGCATTGCTTTATCATCCTCTGCAGCGCTGACTTCATTCGGGCTGTGCTGTCGTTTTATGGTGAAACCTCATTTGGCGTGTTTCGTGCTCATGCGACGCACTCTCTAGAGGTAGATGATGTCACAGCTGATCAAACAGTGCTGAGACTTCAGCAGAAAACAGGCCATCTGCTCCTGTATTTGCCACATATTTAGTTGCCACACATCTCTGTCTGACTGTCCAATGAATGCACAGCTTGAGTTTTCATTGTATGGTAGAACTGGGTGGGTGGTGGATTTGTTTATGCTAAATACAGAGTAGGATGTTTCCCAAACCGGTTAAGACGTAGAGAGTTGGGTTGTTTTCCGGGTGCAGAGAACAGTTGCGCTTATTTTACAGCGTAAATACACTCACCTAAAGGATTATGAGGAACACCATACTAATACTGTGTTTGACCCCCTTTCGCCTTCAGAACTGCCTTAATTCTACGTGGCGTTGATTTAACAAGGTGCTGAAAGCATTCTTTAGAAATGTCGGCCCATATTGATAGGATAGCATCTTGCAGTTGATGGAGATTTGTGGGATGAAGCTCCCGTTCCACCACATCCCAAAGATGCTCTATTGGGTTGAGATCTGATGACTGTGGGGGCCATTTTAATGCAGTGAACTCATTGACATGTTCAAGAAACCAATTTGAAATGATTCGAGCTTTGTGGCATGGTGCATTATCCTGCTGGAAGTAGCCATCAGAGGATGGGGACATGGTGGCCATAAAGGGATGGACATGGTCAGAAACAATGCTCAGGTAGGACGTGGTCTTTAAATGATGCCCAATTGGCACTAAGGGGCCTAAAGTGTGCCAAGAAAACATCTCCTACACCATTACACCACCACCACCAGCCTGCACAGTGGGAACAAGGCATGATGGGTCCATGTTCTCATTCTGACTCTACCATCAGAAATTGAGACTCATCAGAACATTTTTCCAGTCTTCAACTGTCCAATTTTGGTGAGCTCTTGAAAATTATAGCCTCTTTTTCCTATTTGTAGTGGAGATGAGTGGTACCCGGTGGGGTCTTCTGCTGTTGTAGCCCATCCGCCTCAAGGTTATTGATTATATTAATATAAAATATTTAAACTATAGCATCCATCCCTATATTTTCCACATTTGGATCATTTTGATGAAAGGTAAGGGCTGTTAAAGGGGGTAAATATGAAAACTGTGTTGTGGAGAAAGAGACGTTGTGTGCTAGAATAGTTATAGATGGTCATGCAACCTAAACGGATGTAGGTTCAAAGCCCACAAGGTTTGAATAAAACATGAACGATGATCTCCTCCCAGCGGGGTTGTTCCTGTAAATCTACTGTAAATCATATTCAAGCCAATTAAATGACAAATTGGTACTAAATTAGTACAGATGGTGGGGGCAGGACACATTCATATCCAGAAGCATCTGCAACATGCCGTCAGGACTTTAAAGCAACACTTTCGTTGCCTTGTTGTCGTTCACTAAGCGATTTACTGTTCAAACAGCTGCTCCAGTGCAGTTATTCTGTTTCACGGACGCACTGGATTTGCTCCAAAACTCATTTTAAAGCTCTACCAAACGGCTACCTCAAAAGATACCTTGTTTTGAGGGCTGTTTGCTGAGTTGCTGCCTATGAAAAGCGCCCTCATAAGTCTCTTGGCCGTTGCTTGCTGTGTTTTGGAGCAGAATCTGTGTGTTTTTTGACATCTGCTTAGTCATCATAATTAATAATGTTGTGTTTGCGATCCCATCCAAACCGCAACGTGGAATTCCATCATACATATGCGTATGGGTTATGTTACGGTGTAGAGGCTGGGCTTTGCTTCATGTTGTTTGTTCTGTTTGTCTGTCTCTGGCTGGTTGTTTGCTCTCTGTCGCTCTGTCTGTCTCCCTTGATGCTCAGAATATAGTTTCTCTTTGGTGCGGAGCAGCAGAAGTACAAAAGCACTGCGCTCTCTTGTATAATGCAGTGAGGCGTACAGTGCTCGGGGTCCAAACGTCTCAGACTGCTTGTGAAAATTACATTTTTTTTCCATATTGTAAAAAGTTGGATTGGAGAAACGAAGATGGATTTCAGATTGTAGTTGTATTTGGTTTGTGTCTCTTGTGCTTTAATGACAGCGGCACTGAAGCGTGACTTTACATTTTCCAGAGAGCATCTTGAGCCTCAGAAAGTCTCTTTTCAGTATTTAAAAAAGAAAAAGCCTTTTTTTAAATTTCTGAAAAATTTCCAATTTCTACTCTATTTCTAGGTCACTAGTCAAATGTGTGTGGAATTTTTAGAAAACTAAAACTTTTTCAATTTAAATTTAAAAAAATCTCTAAAGTGGTCCAACTTTTGGACCTGAACATAAAAAAATATTTTTGGACCATTTTTTTTAAAAATATGGTCATATATTTTGTTCTTCAGGCATGTATTATATCATTAATACATATTAATTTTTTTTTATAAATTCAATTAATATTTTTCAAAGTTATAGCCAATCATTTTATTATTTTTATATATTTTAAAATTGTATTTTATTTAAAAACAATATACATATTTTTTTCAATGCATATATAGAAATTAGCCTACCTTGATCACACTAGATTAGATTAGTCCAATTCTCACTATTAAGTAACTATCAACTGTGACTTGGATATAAACTTCTAATTACTGCTTATTAATTGTTTATAAGGTTGTTGTTGGATGGATAAAGGGATATAGAATATGATCATGCAAAATAAGGCATTAATATTTCCTTTATAAGTACTAATAAACAGCCAATATCCTAGTAATATGCATGCTAATAAGCACCTAGTTAGTGAGAAGAATTGAACCCTAAAGTAAATTGTAAAAAGTAAACATTTATTAATTTATTACATTGTAAAATATTACTTAATAAATATTAGTAAAATACTTAGTTACTTCAAAATTTCAAGTACCAAGTTTATTGACCTTAGTTGTTTTTCCCCCCAACACTAATAGATTTGAATCAAATGTTATAATATGGTGATGTATCTCAGATGTTTGTTTGGGTCATGCCGTAGAACTGTAGAACCGGCTCGTTTTCTGAAAGGCCTTTGAAGAACAATGGGAAAGGAAAAATACTTTCAGAAACAAAGCTGCTGAAAAAGTGGGCGGTACTCTTGAGCCCTACATCTTCAAAAGTTCATAACCGGCCCTCCTTTTTTCGTGTCTATATTGGAAGAAATGCTTTCCAGCACAGATTTCGACTTGGGTTGTTTTTTCTGTGAAAATAATAGGAAAGCAATGCATCCGTCCGTAGCGTTTGTTTGCGACTCTATTGCTCCGGCCGAGACCTTTCACACAGTTGTCAGGTTTTCTGCGCTGCTGTGTTTCAGGAAGTCGCGTCTTTCCTCTGTTCTTCCCCTCGCAGGTCACCTTTTCTTTTCTGCCTTATCTCTTCCTCTCTCTATATCATGGCACATTCAGTTATTTATAGATCCTTATCCATGCAGTCTCAGATGCTCGGGGTGCAGGGCAATAAACAGCGGTCTGCAGTGGAGATCTTTGAGTCTTGAATTCAATCACTTTACTGTGTGTGTGTGTATTGATTGAGAGGCAGTTTATGGCTAGCTTCTCTTTGAGACGTGCCGTACCCATGGCCAATCAAATCTTGCGTCCTCTAAATGTTTGCAGGTCGGTCTTGCACTAAATGAAATTTCTCCTGCACTTAATGAAAGTTTCATCATCTGTGAGTTTAGGTCACAAAATGACAGATTTTTGTTTAAAAACACCTAATGCCAGGTGATTTTGATCATAAAAATGTCTTTACAATAAGGTCCCATTATTTAATGTTGGTTAATGCATTAACCAAAAGAGATCACTTTAGTATATTAAGTATATTCTCTTTTTTAAATATTTTATAGTTTATTTAGTCACTTATCAGTCCTAGGCAAGGCAAGTTTATTTATTTATGGCTTTTACTTCATACACGATGGCAATTCAAAGTGCTTTACAGAAAGGAATTAAAATAATCACAAAATTAAAGCAATCAAGGAAAATTAAAACAGTTAGAAAAGAAATTAAAATAGTATAAAGATGATACATAGATAAACTTATCCGGTAAAACGCCGGTTTAGTATATTTTTCAAAACTTTTTTACTCTGAGATTTTCTCACACTGTGTCTGTGGTGTTCTTTCAGTCTTAGAAGAAAAGGTTCTATTTAGAACCCTTAAGGGTTCTGTCTGGCACTTCATAGAACCTTCTAAGGGTTCCATTATTGGATAAATTTTGTTTTCATTCATTTTTTATTTGAATTAAATTGAACGAATTTAAATTACCTGTTAAACATGAAAGTATTATGCAATCATTTGAACATTTTTCCAGACAGAACCTTTTTGGCTTAAAGGGTTCTTTAAACTTGAGTCAAGAACCCGGCCTAGAGTTCTATATAGAACACAATCAAACCTTTTTTTTTAGAGTATACTTGAAGAGTTCAGATGCAAAAGCCTCAAAATGCCATTTGAAATTTTCTTCTTTAATGAGGATTTTTGTCAAACTTGTATATTTAAGTTCAGTGATTTCACTTAAATGGCAATGATAATTACCTATTAATTGTTATTTAAGTGAAATTACTGAACTTAAATATACAAGTTTGACAAATCATCATTAAAGAAGAAAATTTCAAATGGCATTTAGAGGCTTTTGCATCTGAACTCTTCACTTGTTGTCTTTCTGTGCAACTACTCTTTTCACAGAAAACTTGTTACTAAAGTGTTAGTTTCGGTGGCTTGATGTGAGGAATATTCTCCTACTTCTGAAGAAAAAGTTGTTGGCTGTTTTCTCTCATTTTAACCTCTTATATTTTGACTTGCAAGATGCTAAAGCCAATTTTTCAAATTTGGCACTCGCAAATAGCATCAGAGAAATGTGAGTGTGGATGATTTTTGTAATAAAATAGTCATTCTTTTATGAATACAACTTGTTTTAATGAAGGAGGTTCAGCTTTAATTTTGGACCCTGTGTGGGGTTGATTAAA